CTTGAGCCCAGGAGTTGGAGATTGCTGTGAGCAGTGAGGCCACGGCACTCTACCCAGGGGGACAGCTTGAGGCTCTGTCTCAAAAAAAAAAAAACAGTTTTAAGTATGGAGACTTGATTCATGTTTTACATATTCAAAAATAAATTTAAATCAACAAGAATTTGGGGTAAATATAAAAAGTGATTAAACAGAAATATAAGACTCTAACAGAATGTCAAATAAATAACAGAACCTCACAAAAGAAAAAAACCCCCACTAATCCAGATAACTTTTTTTTTTGAGACAGAGTCTCACTCTGTGCCCTACGTAGAGTGCAGTGGCCTAATACCTCACAGCAATCTCAAACTCCTGACTCAGGCGATCCCCTTGCCTCAGCCTCCCAAGTAGCTGGGACTAAAGGCACTCACCACAATGTCTGGCTAGTTTTTCTATTTTTAGTAGAGACGGAGTCTCATGTTTGCTCAGGCTGGTCTCTAACTCCTAGAGTTAGATTATAGGCATGAGCCACTGCACCTGGCCCCAGATAACTTTCAATATAGTCATTTGGACACACGACCTCAATGTAAAGACTAAAAGAACTACAAGAAATCTTAAACTCCTTAGTAGTTTGTTATTTACATTGGTCAGATGACGCAACTCTGAAACAATTATATATATATATAGCAATGAGTAAACAAAAATAAATAATCATATGAAGTTATTAGGAGCCAGTGTGCTTACTATGAGAGAAGGAAGACACCAACGTAGAATGAGGCAAAGGAAGGAAGAATCCTAACGTGCTGGATTAGGACTGAAAGACACACACGCACACATACATGCACACACACGCTGTCCCAGTTACTCAGGAGGCTGAGGCAAGAGGGTTGCTCAAGCCCAGGAGTGAGGTTGCTGTGAGTTATGATGCCCCAGCACTCTATCCAAGGCGAGAGAGTGAGACTCTGTCTCAAAAAACAAACAAACAAATAAAATAAAAATTACTTCCCAGGACCAGGACTCCTTCAAGAAGTGTACAATTCTGTGATTGGAGTGAGGAGAGTACAATACAAACCCATGATATCCTGCTACACACAAAAGTAAGAAAATACTCAACAAATGATAAGAATGTATCAAAAAGACACTAGAGTCGGCCTGTACAAGGTCAGCTTGCTCTGGTCAAATCCAATGGTAATTTGAGCATCAAAGTAGAATGAATTATAATAAAAATCCAGGAGTCAATGTTAGTATGAAATAAATCATTAAATAAAGGGTGAAAAGGGGAAATTTCTTCCTAACACTATAATGCCAACTAATAAAACTAATACATGTAAAGAAAATTATAAGAGAACAACCATTGTGCAAATGTCAGAGTAATAACTGATCTTGAGAAGAATCATCAATGGATCCTACAACCTGACCTAGGCAAAAACTCTTCTTTTGGGAACTGGACATTTACACATTTACATTGATTTACAAACAATCTCCCACACAGATTACTTGTTAGAAGAGTCTGATAACTTCACAGTGGAGAAACCTGGCAAATACTTCCTTAACATCAAAGTCATCAGGTGGCACCTATAGTTCAAGTGGCTAAAGCGCCAGCTACACACACCAGAGCTGATGGGTTCCTATCCAGCCCGGACCTTCCAAACAATGACAACTACAACCAAAAAATAGCTGGGCGTTGTGGTGTGCGCTTGTAGTCCCAGCAACTCAGGAAGCTGAGACAAGAGAATCGCTTAAGCCCAGGAGTTGGAGGTTGCTGTGAGCTGTGACGCCACAGCACTCTACCAAGGGTGATAGCTTGAGGCTCTGTCTCAAAAAACAAACAAACAAACAAAAAAAACCCCATCAAAGTCATCATCAATACTGGGATTAACAGTCATCATGTGCCTCCTCATGTGACGTTCTGAGAAGAATTCTTAATCCAACAAAATCCATATTCTGAGTCTAATCATGAAGAAACAGCAGACATACCCATATTGAAGGGCATTCTACAAAACTGTCCTGTAATCTTTCAAAATGTCAATGTAGGAGCAGGGCACAGTGGCTCACACCCGTAATCCTAGCACTTTGGGAGGCCAAAGAGGGCAGAGTGCTTGAGCTCAGGAGTTCAAGACCAGCCTGAGGAACAGCAAGACTTCTGTCTCTACTAAAAACAGAAAAACTAGCCGAGTGTTGTGGCAGACACCTATAGTCCCAGCTACTCAGAAGCTGAGGCAAGAGGACTGCTGAAGCCCCAGACTTAGATGCTGCTATGAGCTATGACATCATGGCATTCTATCTAGCGTGACAGAGTGAGATTCTGTCTCAGAAAAAAAAAAGGAACAGCAAAAAACCCTAGAACAAATTCAGCACACTGGAGACAACCCCAAACTCACTTTACTGTATGTGGAGACTTGCTCCTTCAGGTTCTGACAGTGCAGCATGGTTCCGAGGGCTACTTGCTGGACGAGCTGTTGAAATCTTAAATTTCTGGAAACAAAATCTGTCTCACAGTTTACCTATGGGAACAAATTGATGTTGCTATATAAGCTGTTTTATATAAGCTGTTTACCAGTAGTTTCTTCTTTTTTTTTTTTTAAAGTGGTAGTTTGAGTCGTTTATTTTATTTTATTGGCCAGGGCTGGGTTTGAACCCACCATCTCAGGCATATGGGGCCAGCGCCCTACCCTTTTGAGCTACAGGCGCCACCCCCTACCAGTAGTTTCTAAAAGTGCCTCAAGGTTGGAGAGTACTGAGGGAATAGCCACAGATTCAACAGAAATAAATGACCATGGAATTTTAAGGCTGCAGTTCCTCTCCAAGTTTGAGGCCAGTTCACCATTTGCTGTGGCTGCACATCATCACTGCCTCGCTCTCTAGCCTCCTCCACCTCCAAACCACTTTTGCTAACACCCTTGTGTATCCCTTCTCTCACCCTTTTTTGAGACAGAGTCTATGTCTCCCTCGGTAAAGTGCCATGGCGTCACAGTTCATAGCAACCTCAAACTCTTGGGCTCATGCGATTCTCTTGCCTCAGCTTCCCGAGTAGCTGTGATTACAGGAACCTGGCTATTTTTAGAGACAAGATCCCACTCTGGCTCAGGCTAGTCTTGAACCTGTGGGCTCAGACAATCCATCTGCCTCAGCCTCCTATAGTGCTAGGATTATAGGCATTAATTACTAGCTTTAAAATCTTAACTGTTCCAAGAAGTAATTGGTGACAAGGTATAAGGCTATACTAAATTCACACTTAGGAGTAAAGTTCTAGACTACTAGTCCATTTCTCATCAACACACCATGTATTTATATACTTAAATAAATCCATACCCAATAACAAGGTGCTTGTGACTTTAACCTCCACTGGCCTTATGGTTCTCAAATAAGCTTCTTCTTTAAAGTTGACCACAAGCCTTACACCCAAAGGACAGCTGTCCTTAGGAGATGAAATTTCCAGCAACTTACCTCTACTAATACAGTCGCATTTCCTTCCTGCAACAGCCCAATCAGGCCTTCTTTAGTCTTCCTTCCCTGGAGCTTGGCAGCTTTGCTCCAGCCCTCCTTCTGGGCCTGCTTGTGGAGCCAGATCTCTGCCTATAAAGTGAAAAGGAAAAGAGCAGATGGTAAAGCCACAGAATTTAGAACTGAAAAGAGCTCTAAAATATGTTTAGATTCTCTGGTTTTTTTCTACTTCTCCTAAATTCTCTAATAGAAATTAAAGTAACCTATCACTGACAGTCTATCACTAAATGCCAAATACCAGGCATTTTTGTAATTAGTGTTTTGGATAAATTTAATCTTCACAACAACACTACAGGGCAGACAGTAGTATTTTCATTATCCAGTCATGCATGTCACAACAATGTTTTGGTCAACAGTGGGCTGGCTATATGACAGTGCTCCCATGATTACAACGGAAAAGAACACCTAGTGACACAGCAGCCCTCCTAACGAAGTAATGCAACGTATTGCTCACATGTTTGTGGTGATGCTAGTGTAAAAAACCCTACTGTAGGCGGTGCCTGTAGCTCAGTGGGTAGGGTGCCGGCCACATGCACCAGGGCCAGTGGGTTCAAGCCCAGCCTGGGCCGGCTAAAACAAAACAATAGCTGAGCATTGTGGCATGTGCCTATAGCCCTAGCTACTCAGGAGGCTGAGAGAAGAGAATAGCTTGAGCCCAAGAGTTTGAGGTTGCTGTGAGCTATGACACCACATCACTCTACCAAGGGTAATAAAGTAAGACTCTGTCTCAATTAAAAAAAAAAAAAAACCCTACTGGTTGTACCCTACATACAACCCCATGTGTGAGCACCTGTAGCTCAGCAGCTAGGGCACCAGTCACATACACCAGAGCTGGTGGTTTGAATCCAGCCCAGGCCAACTACAACCAAAAAAAATAGCTGGGCATTGTGGCTAAGGCAAGAGAAGCACTTGAGCCCAAAAGTTTGAGGTTGCTGTGAGCTGTGACGCCATGGCACTCTACCAAGGGCAACATAGTGAGACTCTGTCTCAAAAAAACAAAAACAAAACCAAAAGACCCTACTGCATTGTTAGTCACATAAAAGTATAGCACACAGGCTTGGCACCTGTCACTCAAGTGGGTAGGGCACTGGCCACATACACTGGAATCCAGCCCGGGCCTGCCAAACAACAGTGACAACTGTAACTAAAAAATAGCCAGGCATTGTGGCAGGTGCCTGTAGTCTCAGCTACTTAGGAGGCTGAGGCTAGAGAATCGCTTAAGCCCAGGAGTTTGAGGTTGCTGTGAGCAGTGACGCCACAGCACTCTACCCAGGGTGACAAAGTGAGACTCTGCCTCCAAAAAAAAAAAAGTATAGCACACAGAATTATGTATGTACAACATACTTGATAACAACAGACTGTTATTAGTTCATGTATTTACTATACTATTATACTTTTTATCATTACTTTACAGTGACTTTTTATTTTTAAGTTAACTGCTAAACAGTTCAGGAAGATCCTTCAGGACCTATTTCATAGGAGGCACTGTTAGCACAGGAGTTGCCAGCTCCACACATCTCACTGCCCCGAATACCTTCCCATGGGACAAGATGTAGGAGGTGGAAGACAATGGTACTGATGATCATAACCCGGCCAGGCTAATGTGTGTATTTGTGCCTTGGTTTTTAACAAAAAGTTTTAAAAGTTAAAAATAAAAATAATTAAAATTGGAAAAATTTTACAGAATAAGGATATAAATAAAGATCTATATGATGTATTTGTGGTTTTTGTTTTTTGGAGACAGGGTCTTGCTCTGTTTCCCGGGCTAGAGAAATTCAGTGATGTGATCAGAGCAACCTCAAACTCCTAGGCTCAAGTGATCCTTCTGGCTTACCTTCCTGAGTAGCTAGGACTGCAGGTGTGTGCTGCCATGCTCAGCTAACTTCTTAAAGATTTTTTTTGTAGGGGCTGGGCAAGGTGGCTCACACCTGTAAACCTTGCACTTGGGAGGCCGAGGCAGGTGGACTGCCTGAGCTAAACAGGTTCAAGACCAGCCTGAGCAAGTGCAAGACCTCATCTCTAAAAAGCCATGCGTTCTGGGGTGGCGCCTGTGGCTCAGTGGGTAGGGCACCAGCTCTATATACCAAAGGTGGTGGGTTCAAACCCAGCTCTGACCAAATTGCAACAATAAAAAAAAAACGTGTGTTGTGGCGGGCGTCTGTAGTCCTAGCTACTCAGGAGGCTGAGGTAGGAGGATCAATTGAGCACCAGAGTTTGAGGTTGCTATAAGCTAGGATGATGACACGGCACTCTATGGAGGACAACAGAGTGAGACTCTATCTCTACAAAAAAAAAAAAAAGAAAAAAGAAAAAGAGCCAGGCGTTCTGGAGGGCACCTGTGGTCTTAGCTACTTGGGAGGCTAAGGTAGGAGAATCACTTGAGCCCAAGAGTTTGAGGTTGCTGTAAGCTATAAAGCTATGGTACTCTACCAAGGGTGACAAAGTGAGACTGCCTCCAAAACAAAAAATATATATATATTTTTTTGTAAGAAGGGAATCTCAACACATTGCCCAGGTTGGTCCTTTTTTTTGAGACAGAGTCCTACTATGTCGCCCTAGGTAGAGTGCCATGGCATCACAGCTCACAGCAACCTCGAATTCTTGGGCTTAAGTAAATCTCTTGTCTCAGCCTCTCAAGTAGCTGGGACTACAGGTGCCCACCACAATGCCCAGCTATTTTTTGTGGCAGTTATCATTGTTGCTGAGCAGGCCCAGCAGGGTTCAAACCCACCTGCCTCAAGTGTATGTGGTGGGCGCTCTAACCACTGAGCCAAGGGCACTGAGCCCAGGTTGGTCTTGAACTCCTGCCCTCAAGTGATCATCCTGCCTTAGCCTCCCGAAGTGCTAGGATTACATGCAGGAGCTATTGTCTGTTTTTTGTTTTTTGGGGTTTGTTTTTTTTT